ATATAAAATAATGAAAGTAGAAGCAAACAAGTTTACAAAAAATTACATTTACATACAAAATACAAAAAATTTTTTGCATTTACAAAAATATAAAATATAAAGTTAGACGAAACTCTTACATTATAGTAAAGATCAGCTAATAAACTATTCAATATAACTAAAGTATAATTTCAGTAGTGAAATTGAAATTTGGACAAAAAACGATTTATGATACGCTGTTATTGTACTATTTTTCTACAGTTCGGCCAAACAAAAAAATTTAAAACAAATCAATAAAATAATTTTTGTTTGCCATTGAATTTGTTATAAAAAGCAAATATATAAAAAAAATCAATGACATACAGGCAAGGCCGGCGCGATAGGGGTGTGTGTGGGGGGGAAGGGTGTCACCCCTCCCCCCCTCCCCTCATTAATGATTTTTAGTCGGCAAATTAGACCCTTAGTCGGCATATTAAATCCTTTTAGACTAGTTAGTCGGTAAATGTCGACCCTTTCGTTATAGGTTAGTCGGTAATATAGACAGTCGGCAAATGTCGTCATGGCAGTCGGCAAATTTTGGAAAACGAGGACCTTTTTTTTTTTTTTTTTTTTTTTTTTAAGTCGGCAAAAAGTATTGGCACCCCTCCCCCACGTGACACCTACTCGCGCCGGCCCTGCATACAGGTGCTCACAGACAATGCCTTTTAAAAAAAGTAAACAGTAAACCGCCTTCAAATTATTTATTTATTTTTTGTATAAAACGTATATAGTTTAAAACCAATTATCTAACATCATTGTAAAATTATCTAACATCATTGTAAAAGGTTTTGTCCATTGAAGTTAAGTTTTAATATAAACTTTGACTTTAATAAATTAAAAAAAATAATCTATTTATTTTCCACCTTAAATAAATTTTTAAAAATACGAATGGTTAAAAATGTAATGTACACTTCAAAATTTCTTTGAAATGTTTGTTTTTATTATATGTTTAGTCTTAATTGACCGGTTTTAAGTATTTTAATCAAAAAAATGAAGCTATGGAATATCCCCTATGAAGGTAAATATTATATTTTTAGCTAAATATTATAGCTAAACCTAAGTAATTTTTCAAAAACTTCTTAATGCGTTTAGTTGGAAATAAAGTAAACATATCATAAATAATAAAAATATTAAAAGTAGAATTGATAATTTTGTAGCTTATTGTCAGAAAAACATTTTTTTAAGTATATTAATTTAACTAATAAATACCCTATAGTTACATTATAAATAATTAAAAGGTTGCTATGTCTTTTTTATAAGTTTTCGGAATATTCAATATACGTTGGTTTTTTTAAATTTCATAACTAGAACCATTGATTTAAAATTGCCACAACATCGGCTCCAAATACTCCCTTAAAGCATGTAACAATAATTCTGTTCCCATCTAATATTATTGCAAAACGTTTATTTCTTTTAAATTACATATTAGGAAAGTTTCGTGTATAAAGGTTTTTGGATGATTTAAAACGGTAAGTTAGTATCTATCTATTAGTTAGTATCTATATATAAGGAGCAAACATGCAAATAGTATTTTGTAACAAAAATAAAAAAAATAATCAATGGTAGTGAATAGTGTTTTTATAAATTTCATTGTTAAAGAAAACACGTTATAAATAAAAATGTCATGTCTTGTGATAATATGGATACTTGTTGTTCCCTTGAGACAAAAACATCTAAAATTCAGCAAAAAAATCAAACACTTAAAAACCAAATCAAATTCAATCAAATACCTAAAACCAAAACAGAGGAAAGTAAGATTCTTTATGAAAATTATGCCAAAAATTTTGAAAAACTAAAACATTGTTATGCTTTCTTCTAAAATTTGCTTGCTCATCAAATTTTCCAATTTGATGAACAAGCATAACTTAAAGCGCATCGAAAGTTCTTAAAATTATCCACACTTTTTATCCATAATTATAAATTAATGGATAAAGTACATATATATACAGTATTCTTAAATCATGCGAAATCTTGGATGAAAGGTTATCAAATAATTTGGAATAAGTATGACACGGAATCATTTTAGTCAAAAAAGCGCTTTAGGATTTATATATAGATCTTATATAAGCGATCCTATATTTAAAATTCTCTACATATCACACATGCAAAACATTTAGCAACAACAAAGTATCACGGATTATTAGTGTGCGGTGATTTTAATTTACCCACTATAAATTGGAAAAATGGTGTTGCTAAATTAGTTATAGACACTAACGCTAATACTGTAGCAAATCAATTTATTGGCTGTCGGACTTCTATTTAACTCAATTCGTCACGGAGCCAACTTTTCAAGTTGATGAATTCACGTCAACCAGTACTTTGGATTTTACAATAGCCGAATGTAACGAAAGAATTGATGAGATCATTTATTTGCCGCCTTTTCTTAAACTTAAAAAAGGATATAATGTCTTGACTTTTTATTTCAGAATAAAATCAAGACTACAACCAAAGATGATATGCAAAAAATGTTTCTTACTACAAATTTTGAGTTAATGTCTAAATTTTTTGTAAACTGTTGGAAAAATAATTTTGTAAATCAAAATCAAAATGTAAAAGAATGTTTGGATACCTTTTTAAATATTTATAATAATGCGTGTGACCAATTCGTCAAAATCAAACATGTAAAAACAGATCTTAAATCATGCAAGTGGAAGTCACGGACATTTTTCATCTCCTTCACATTTGAATATAAAAGTTTTGGATCATATTTAGCGTCTGAAGCTAACTTTGTTCGTACTCAAAAACAGATTTTTTTAATGTAAAGTAAAAATGAACTTATAAACAGATTTTGTTAATGTAAGTAAAAATGAAATCAAAAAACAAACATGGGTTTAATTGAAGAGCATGTCGTTTTAACAATGCAAAACTGTTAAAACAGTATATTTGAATATAAAAAGTTAAATTAAAAAAATCTGTTTATGAGTATGAATCAAAGTTAGCTTCAGACGCTAAATATAATCCAAAACTTTTATATTAATATGTGAAGGAGATGAAAAATGTCAAGACGTATAATTCTTTAAACAAAGTAAACGGGTGTATGATCACAGATTCGGAGGTTATAGTTAATACGTTAAATAATCATTTTTTTAAATGTATTCACAAAAAGAATTATCGCTGAGCTACCAAAATTTGATAATTGTGCAAACAATATATGCTCAAAACCGTTGCTTGATTTCAAATTAGTTTACAATATAATAGTGAATTTAAACCCAAATAAATCTGTTGACCCAGATTGAGTGAGTCCTTTGGTAATAAAAAACTGTTCATATGCATTAGCGGGGCCTTTAATCTACATATTCACGCTTTCACTGTAGTCAGGTGCTTGCCCAGATCAATAGAAGTCTGCATACATAACACTATCGTTCAAAAAAGGTAGTAGACTAGACACAAACAACTATCGTTCAATTTCCTTGACGTCCATTATATGTAACTTTATGAATAAAATTGTCAAGGCAAGTTTGGTCAAACTTACTGAGTAAAAAATCTCCTAAAAAAGTTTGGTCAAAAACTTAGTAGAAAATCACCTAAAAAAGTTTGGTTAAATACTTAGTAGAAAATTACCTAATTCACCTAGACTAGTTAACATGGATTCGTGAACAACAAAGCGTGTTTAACTAATTTGATTAAAACAGTGGATTTTCTTACCTAAAAAAGACGCGGTTGATGACGCGGTGTTAACGCATATTCATTAATTTAGCTAAAGCGTTTCATGTTGTTCCGCTCAGATATTTGATCCACAAACTTTCCGGTTTTAGAATTATTGGTCAAACTCTAAAGTGGATTGAATCTTTTCTATAAATTCGTTGGCAAAAAGAGGGTAATGCAAATTTTATTATCTCATTGGAAAGAGGTTTGGAGCATGGTACCGCATGGTTCCGTGCTTAGACCAATTTTATTCATAATATAGATTAATGATTTTCAAGAACTATTAACAACTGTAAATAAATTGTAAATAAACAATGACGATAAAAATACATTTCAAGCCCAGCAAACATATCTGCGTTGAATCAACGTTGAAAACCAGTCGCAGCGTAGAAAAAGCGTTACAGTCACAAAAACAACGTGCTTTCAACGTTGAATCAATATCTTTTTTTGTATACTAAATCGCGGTAAATTGAAACGTTGAATAAGCGTTGAAATTGTAACGTAATTTAGCTTCTCAAAATATAACGTTTATTCAATGTGGAATCAACTTACGCAAAAAGCCACTTTAAAAACGTTTTAAAGCAGATGCTTTATCAACGTTAAAAACAAACCGCTTTTTAAACGTTACATTTTCAACGTTGAATAAGCGTATAAATTTAAACGTATCTTACCTTCTCAAAAAAATCACGTTTATTCAACGTTGAATAAAAGTACACAAATAATCACTGTAAAAACGTCGCAAAGTTTATGGTTTATTAACGTTAGACATTAGCTGTTTTTTTTAACGTATTTTAGCTATTTATAAAATAACGCTCATTCAACGTTACATATACCAACGTTGAAAATGTAGTAATTAAAAAGCGTTGAAAAAGTGTTACTTTGCGAACGTTGCTTTGACAACGTTGAGGAAGTAGCACATTAAAAATTATTGTCTCAATAAATAGCCAAAAATAATTTGCCGTAATGGAAAGGCAAGGAAAACCTAATAGAATGTATGCATATGGTTCAAAAAATATTTCAATAAATTTATATTTTATAACCTATTTTTATTGTGAATAATTTAAAACTTTTAGATTTTATATCATATTGTATACAATATACAAATACCTCAGGGCAAATTCGATTTATTTAGGTTATTTTTATCGATTTTATATTTATTTTAAGTTGACCATTTTAGTAAAATGTTCAACTTTTTTAAATATGTTAGAAATAATATATAGTTAGAAATAAATTTCCTTTATAGTTAGAAATAATACTTAGTCTTGATAAGATTCACAATCTTTGATTTGTGAATCTTATCAATCTTATCTCTTGATTTTGTTGTTTCTTTTAAAAACAGGGTTGAAGCAGAGGCATTTATTCCATCTTGTTAGGTGAAAGATGGATGTTTATTTTGTCCAACTGGTATTAATGCAATGAAAGCTGCCTATAATCATTTTCCAATTGATGATTCCTGCAACAAGCTAAGACTTAAAAGAGTTAAAGTAACTGGAGGTCATTAAATTTTACAATACTCATTGCTATTTTAATTGTTTTATATGATTAATAAAACTATTACAGTTTTATATTAACAGTGAAGTACTCTACCAAAAAAACTATATATATATTTTTGGAATATATATATTTTTTTGGAATAAGTAATATTTTGAATCTGTTTGTGGTAATATTATTGCCTAGATATATATTTTAATCTTTTTACACTTATTATACATTTTAGTTTTTACATATTTTTGTTTATGTTTATTTTACTAAATAATTACTAATAGATAAAGAAGTATGCGAAGGATTTAATTTCCCAACTACAGAGTACTCCAAAGAATGTAAGTAATTATGTTTGTGAATACTTTTGTTTCTCTTTTGATTTAACTTTTCTTTGTTTTTTAAATGGTAAAGAATAAAAAAACACCTAATATTAACTATTGGTCAAAGCTGATTTTAATATTACTGTCTAAATTATTTGACTTGTGGTAGTTTGATTACCAGTGTAAGTTTAATTAGTAAAGTTTTGGTGGATCAAAGATCGAGGAATGATATGGTTTTAGCTGGTTTCGATCTTATGAACAAAGTACATATTATGATTTAAATTTATAATTTATAGTTACATCTAATGAAGTAAGTTTTGTTTAGGTAATTAATGTATGGATATATGACTATTTTTAGTTGTAAAATTTAAATTATAAACCAAAATATTTACTACAAAATAACTAACTCTAAAAAAAGAAAAATATATAAATAATAATAAACTGACAGTAAAATTAAATAGTTAAGTTTATAGCATAATGTAAAGTTTGTTTATTATTTGAGGGACTTTCCCCATTTAATGTGGAAAGTCCCTCAAATATGCCCCAACAAAACAAAATCTTTAATTTGTGTTTTGTTGGGGCATCATCCAAAATCTCAAAAGAATCACAGTTAGCCAGATTTCTGAAATTAATAGATAAATTTAAGTGTTTAAATATGAGATTGTTTATCACTTTTAAGGTGCTCATTTATTCTAGTTGCCAAATGTCTGGAAGAGACCTCCAGATGTTTGGCAGACATTTTTTCAGAGTTTTGTTATTGTAAAATAATCTTTTGAAAATGTAAACAAATTTTACAAGATATTAGAAAGTGACCAGGGTCTTGGCCTCAGCTAAAAATGAGACTTTTTGTAAACCTGGCCCCACCAAAATTATAAGATTTAGCATAGGTTGATAGCCGGGGCTAGAAAAAAATTTATAATACTTAATATATTATAATTTTATGCTTGCATTTACTATTTAATAAATACTGGCATATTTTTATATATTTTAAAATCTAATTTACTTCCAACAAGATTGCAAGCAACCACTATTAAGTAATGAGTTACTTTCAAATAAAGAACCGGTTTAACTACTAGGAAACCTATAACTAAAAATATAAAAAGTTGTAAGATGTATAAAAAAGGAAAATATGAAACGTTGTAACAGTTATAAGATTTTTTTGATGTTCAAGGAAAAAAATTGAGTTATTTATCATGCTGTAAAAAGATTTTATAGCATGAAGGGACAAAGCAGTTAAAAGATGCAACTTGTTGAATAAATGGCCAATTGAGAATGAGTTTTGGTTTATCGTTATAGAGATAATAGTTTGTTTGAGCATTGAATATAATTGTATTTGTAGAAAAAAGAAAGAAATGCAACCTTATAACAATGCGAGAGTGGCCCAACCTTGGCAGATAAAGCTGATCTTATTACATTTACAATGTGATTTTAGACTTTGCCTGAGAGTAAGAGGGTTGCTATTTGTCAATATAGGAATGCCAACAATATTGTAATATTTTTTTGCAGTTAATAAATGAGTTTTGTTGTCTAACAAAAATTGTGGATTTTAAGTCCTGAATTTAAATCCATAAGCCACAGCAAGTCTTAGGCTGTTACAGAAGAGAGGTCAGAATTAAAATTGGCTGCTTGTTCTAAGCAATTAAAGATGATTTTTTTGTCAAGACAAGAGTGTAAAGTGGATTCTTAAACAAATTTAGTCACTTTAGATTTTATTATGGTTGTTATTGTAGATAAAAAAATATTACAGGAGCAAATATAGAACCTTGTGGTCCTCTTAAAGTTACTTGAAATAAAGAAGAGGGTAGGCCTTCAAGAATAACTTACTACTGCAGTTAGAAATAAATAATTTAATAACCTCAAAAGCTTTACAAAAAAAATTATAAGAAACTGATAACAGAGTGAAAAGTAATTGTAGGATACTTGTAGAGGTCAAGGTGTTTTCGAGAGTTTTGAAAAATTGAAACCATGTATTTAGCACTTTTTAAAAGTTTAGCAAAAATTGTTGAGAGTTCTGAAGAACACTTTTTTAAGACTATGATGGAAATCTTGTCTGAAGCACAAATGGTAGAAGTGTTTAATTAAGAATTAATTTTAGTATTGGAAGCCAGAGTAACTTTGATGCTTAACAATGGATTATTCTGTTTAACTGTCAGGAAGAGTATGTCTATTATATTCGAGAGAAAATGATAGTAAGATTTCTTTGTAAATAGCTCTGCTTTATTCTGGGGTAAAGTAAAAAGATCAGACCCATGATTTAGAGAATAAACGCTAGACTTACTTGAGTTAATAACACTGTTGAAAACTAACCAAAAGTCTCCGGAACCATTGATCATTGTCATCATAATTTTCCTTATCATCGTCAAGCTTTTTGCTTTTATGCTGTTGATGATGATGATGATAATGATGATTATGATGATCATGTATATGTATATGCATATATATACAAAATACAAAATGTATTTCAAATTTAAAAAATTTAAAACTTTAAGATGTATAAATGTTTATGCAGCACTGGTCACAAACCCGGCCTCGACTATTTTTTATCAAACCTGGACCCAGTCAAAAATCAACCCCAGTCGTTTACTACAAAACATTTCAAGAATAAAAGACATCATATTATTTTTAGAAATAATTACTTATTTTATGCTATTACGAAAATATATATATATATATATATATATATATATATATATATATATATATATATATATATATATATATATATTTATTTATTTTTACTTTTTAAATTTAATAAGGATCATTCTAATTCAAAAACGTTGTTTTAAACATTTGCTTTCAGACTGCTAATAAAACAAGTTTTATTTTTTGATTTAGATTCTGTATCTCAATGATATCCTGACCTATCGATACGATATCCTGTAAATCCACTCACACACATAAATCTTTAAAAAAATGCTCTTATTTATATGTATATATCTATAAATTGTATATTTTATATAAATAAATTGTATATTTTTAAATTTTTCATTGCATATTACTGTTTGTATTAAAAATTGGTTTTAGAAATATTACAAGTACAGAGTACAAAAAGTACAAAATATTACAATTACAAATACAATTTAGTTTTATTTGACAATTTAATATATATCATAACCAAGTTTAATTACATTTAATAACATTTTGCGATATTTTCTCCAGCGCATTTAAGCTTTGATTCAACGTTTCAAACGTTTCAACGTTTCAAACGTTTCAAATTTTCAAAACGTTTCAACGTTTCAAACGTTTCAAATTCAACCTTTACTCGACGTCTTTGAGTCACGTTAAATCGACGTTTTACTGCCAACGTTAAAAATCCTTGCAAAATCGACTGCTTTAACAACGTTACAGTAACGCTTTTCAAGTACCTTTTTTTAACGTTAAATTGCGACGCTTATGCAACACTTTTTAAGTAACACTTTTTCAACGTTTAGTTGCGACATTTTTGTAACGTCTATAGTAACGTTTTTTCAACGTTACGCTACAACGTTTAATCAACGTCTCTTAAACAACGTTACATATCTTTGCAAAATCGATTACTTTGTCAACGTTTCCGCAACATCTTTTGCGACCGGTTTTTAACTTTGATTCAACGCTGACATGTTTGCTGGGAGATGACATAAGCAAAATAGCAAAATGAAAACATGGCTTGTTTACTTTACAAAATCATACAATATGTAAAGTGATTGATCTTGGCAAATCAAATCACACCTACACAATTCCATCAAAAAGTAATGAAATAATAATTTTATGCAGCACAAATGAATAAATTGATCTTGATATTGTTTTTTATAGCAGTATAAAGCATCATAGTCAAGTAATGAATGCATCAAACAAAGCAAATAAAATGCTTAGAATGATAAACATTACGTTTACTTATTTGGATGTTAAACTAATAAGAAAATTACACTGCCTTTGTTAGAACTTGTTTAAAATTTGCAATATCGGCTAGGGAACCTTCACCATAAAAAGAATTGAGCTGGAAAAAGTACAACATAGAGCAATTAATTCCATCACTCAGAAAACTAGAATACAAAGAGAGATTAAGAATTTTGGGTATTCAATTGCTAGGAGTTGTAGAGTTTTAAAATAGTTTAAGTAATTCAGTGTTTTAAAATAATAAATAACTTCGATATTGTAAATGGAGTTTTTATGGAAGTAAAATATTAAACGCAGATAATATTTTTTATTCGTAGACCAGGAAAAAGAGCGTTTACCACTCATCATCATTAAGTACTTTAAGCATTTCAACAGATGAATTTATAAAAGCATTCAAGTAATTTAAGTTAGCAAAATCTCAAACATATAAAATTAGTTTATATTTGTTTTTATTGACTTATCATCCAAGCATATAAAACAATAATATAAATAACCAGTTTCTATAATACAATTATCAACAATATTATTATTGTTATTACTGCTATTAGTATTATTATTATTATCATTATTATTATATATAAATTAATAAAAAATACTCATACAATTTCTTCCACAATAACTTACTCTTTAGGAAGTGCAGCTTTTGGTATTCTTTAGGAAGTGCAGCTATTAGTAAAACTTAAAATTAAGGAAAAAGTTGTATAAGTGTTTTTTCTAATTTATTAATGCTCTGTTTTTAAGAATACACTAACACAATTTACACATATACTAGGATAGACAGGGTTGCACACGCACAAACATGGGCTGCAAAGTCAAAATCTTATTTAAATTAGATTTAGCAGTGAGCTTTTTAAAAAATTTCAAATGCAAAGGCTGACATTTATTCTAAACATTTTTTTGTTTTAATGTTACACTTCAAAAAAAGATGTTAGAAACTTTTACCATAAGGATACGTATTTGTAATATCCTTAATAAAGTATGTTTTTCAATCTTCTAAAATAGAAAATTATATCTAAATTCATTTGAAAATTTTGAAAATCGTTTTCTTATCAAAAATCGGTCGGTTTCTAATCAAAAAGTTGTCTTTAGCGAACCCACCTTTAAAATTTAATTTTACATAAGAACACCTTTCCGCAGCATAAATTCCAACTTTTTAAAAACATATAAATGTCGCTCTACTCTAATATGCAATCATATGTTAGTTGTTGACAACCTAAATTTTTTATTTTGCTACCTATTATAAATTATTATACATTAACAACGATTCCTTTAATCTAGGTTAAATAATTTAAAATTTGAAACACTTGATATAAAAATGTTCACTTTCGTTACAGATTAATAATCTAGTTAAATTTAATCAGTTTTTTTAATACTTGGGCGTGTAAACATTTGAGCAATACTTAACGCCCTCGATAATTTTATATTAAGAACTTTCGTGCTGTCCCAGTGGGCACACGACGTTATTTCGACGTTGATTTACAGTTGATTTTTAGTCGCGACGTCGTATAACCAAAAATCAACGTTGTATCAACGTTGAAAAATTTGTTTAAAACTATCAAATAAAATCGACGTTGATTCCACGTTAATTCAACGTCTATATTACGAGTTCGATCGTTCGTAATTGCAATATGATAACTAAAATACGCATGCGTGACTTAAAATTTTTTTATCAACATAACAAATAACAAGTAAAGATTTAACAAGTTACTTATTAGCCCAATAAAAACAAGTACAGTCACACATGCTAATAAATTAGGTCATCTGTTGCCTTTTTATAAGGTTTTGAATTTGACAATTTAACAATAATACATGCTTAACTTGTGATGCAGTTAGTTAGGTAAATATTAAATGGATATTTCTTTATGACCGTATGATTTCATGAGTGTGGATTACAAGTAGAGACTACTTGATATATTATATAAATATAAAATATATATTATATATGTTTTTCTTATTTATATAATACATATATATATATATATATTATATATGTTTTTCTTATTTATATAATACATATATATATATATATATATATATATATATATATATATATATATATATATATATATAAATATATATTATATATGTTTTTCTTATTTATATAATATATATATATATATATATATATATATATATATATATATATATATATATATATATATATATATATATATATATATATATATATATATATATATATATATATATATATATATATATATATATATATATATATATATATATATATACATATATATATATATATATATATATATATATATATATATATATATATATATATATATATATATATATATATATATATATATATATATATATATATATATATATATAGTATATATACTTATATTATATATGTGTATATACATATATAGTATATGTATATATTATATATGCATACTATATATATGTATATATGTATATATATATATATATATATATATATATATATATATATATATATATATATATATATATATATATATATATATATATATATATATATGTATATATATATATATATATATATATATACATATATATATAATATGCATATATAAAATATACATACACTATATATGTATATATATACATACATAATATAAATATATATAACGGATGATGTTTTACAAAATAATGATTTATCAAGCTTTTTTACCAATCCATGTGATTTAAAGAGTTTAAATATTTTTTATATTAAAAAATTTTTATTAAATTTTTAAAGATTTTTCTTGTAAAGTTTTATAAAAAAGAATTTGTGAATGCTTCTTTAGTCCATAATATTGGTAGAAAGATCAACATGAAAATTTAGCAAATTTTAGCAACTGTATAATGTATCATAACGTACAGTTTATAGTTGTATTTTTCTGTTAGCTATTTTACATGAACAAATTTTTAATATATAAGTATTTTTTCTATTATAATTTCTACTATACTTTTCTAGTTGAAAAAGTATAGTAGGGCATGCAAAATGTTCATTCGAGCTGTTTGGATAGAAAATACAGAGAAAAAAAGAGAGAAAATTCGATTGATAATTTTTTGTGCTGCTCGTCATCTTTAAATGTACTAAATTGTTTCAATGAAATGCATAAACCGCATCTCACTAATACAAATTTACGCTGCTCAAAATTTAATGTCATGGAGATAATGTAATTTTTTTTTTAATATAAACCTTAAGTCATTATTTTTTTTCCTTGTTTTTTTAACATGCTTTCATTCTGTATATGTTGTTTTCAGTGTTTAGATATATTCTTTATTATATATTTATTATATAATGTATTTAAAACATTTTTAAATTGAATGAATATTCTTAGATCATGAGTTATGTAATAAATTTGAATTTGCCTCTATAAGTGATACTCAAATAGAATCAGGTTCAGAAAACAGTAACTATTTCAAAAGATACTTAATTCAAGTATTATTAGTTATATTTTGATATTAATTATTATAGGAGCCACTACCATGCTTATGCAAGAGAAAACATAATAACCAACAGAATAGTAAGCAAATACCTACTCCTGTAACGCAAAAAAAGAAACAGAAAACATTTTTTATGCATACTCCACATACTGTAGCTCATGGTATTAATTGTCTGTCTGCAAGTTGATTTACGAAGAAAAGATTCTGAACATTTTTTTCTATGCTTCAGCGATTTACACATGTCTTTGGTTGCTAAATTAATTCATTTTATTTAATTTATGAATAATGTTTTATTTTATAAATTTTTTGTTCTTGTGTTTCAACACTTTTAGAAATTAATTAATGTTTGGTTCTTTTGTCTTTCTGATATATCTTTATTGTTAGAAAGAGATGTTAGTAAAAACTCTTTCCAGTAATTAAAGTTATATCATGACAAATAGTCCTGAAATTCTTATGTATAACAGTTTAAATGATTCTTGGGTGAGGTCAGAACTGATAGGTTGTTTCAAACCATGACTTTTTGCAGTTTTTTTTATTGTTTTTTGATTAAGTATTTATTAATATCTTAGCCTAAGTTAATCTACTTGTAACTTTTTATA